TTCAAGTTCTGAGATTCTTTCTTCAGCTAGATTAATTCTGCTTTCCATGCTTGTCATCTTGTTATTTATTTACTGTATGAAGTTTTTTGTTGCCAAAATCTCTGTTACAGGTACTTTCAATGTCGCATCTTGTCTTTCTTGAGTCCTTTTCACTCTTTCCATCCATTCCCTAATCCCTGTCATTTTCTGGGAACAGTCGTTGGTGAATTCCATTGATTGGGCACCAAGGTCTGATTTTTCAGGAGTTTTGTCTGTGGTACACTTGAAATTGCCTGAGGCCTTCCTTTGTTTTTTTCTCATTTATAACAGATCTCTTGTTTTTCTCTTTAGTTCTGGTTATTCAGTGTCAGTGGGAGAGGCTTTCCCTTCCGACGTTTGCTCGGTCCTCTATTCTTCCCTGATCCAAGCTCTGGATTTGTTCTATTTTGAAATAGGATGGTGGATGGGAAGTTTTGCTGTCTCTTGTAATTTTTGAAATTCGAATGAAGTAGAGGATGGGGCGCTAGGAATCAGAGACTACCTGCAAATTAAAATGTTCATTTATTGTGGTATGTTTTCCCTGAGACCCACTCCCCACCACTACTCTATATGACGATGCATAGCAGAAACCAATGCAAAAGCAATTTAGCACATACACACACACACACCCTAGAACAAACTGCAGTAACAACAAAGCAAAGCAAAATAAACAACCAAAAAAACAAGAAAACTAAAAGCATTCACACATGCTCAGCACAAAGTGAACAGAGAAGAAAGACCGGAGGAAAATTTTTTTTAAAAAAAGGGATTCAGGCTGGGCTCGGTGGCTCAGCCTTTAATCCCGTGCCTTGGGAGGCTGAGGTGAGTGGATTGCCTGAGCCCGTGGGTTCGAGACCTACCTGGGGAACTTGGTGAGACCTCATCTCTACAATAAATCAAAAAATTAGCCGGGTGTGGTAGCGTGCGCCTGTAGTTCCATCTACTTGGAAGGCTGAGGCAGAAGGATCGCTAGAGCCCAGCAGGTTGAGGCTTCAGTGGCCAGGAGCGGCCACTGCACTCCAGTCTGGGTGACAGAGTGAGACTCCAACTCAAAAAAAAAAAAAAAAGTGATTCAGGTCAAAATCTCACAAATATATTGACACACATCTTAAACTATAAAAAATGAATATAAAAAACCCAGAACAAAAGAGCAAAAACCAACAAGATCAAAAGATGAACACTCTGATCATTCACATACACACATAAACATAAAACAACAAATATAAGAAGAAACAGAAAAAAAAAAGAAAGAAAAAAAATTGGGGGGATGCAGATCAAACCCTTACATACACATTCATGTACAAAGGAAAAATATTTTTTAAATAGATGAACTAGCAAACAGTCAAAAAAAATTTTTTAATTAAAAAATAATGGAAAATTTTTTTTAAAAACCTGTTCTCTTGTTGCAGGCTCTGTAATTGTACTTCAATTCAGGTCTGTCCTGCAGAGCCACCTCTTTCACTCTCTCCTCAGGGAACGAAGCAGGGAAGGAGGAGGGGCAGTGGAGGTAGATGGGACTGCAGTCCTCCCCTCCCACTCTCGTATGGTCAGGGAGATCTCCCATGGGGAGGTACGGGATTGTCTCTTCCCCAGGTATGTACTCTCACCCACGGTGCCCCAGCCAGGCCTATCCTGAAATGAAGTTCTCCTATTGCAACTGACGTCCAGGCTCCACCTGGGTTTGTCCCTCTCAGTCGTGGCCCAGTTGTGTGGGTCTGACGTTCAGAGAATTGCTGGGGAGGAGAGGGTTTGGGTCAGCCCCGGATTCACCACTGATCTCTTTGGAGTTCTTCCTCATCCTTTTCTGGTTACACCCTTTGACCCATGGCTCATTAGGTCCCTCTGTAGTTTGTGCTCTCAGGATATTCCTGATGGGCCATGATCAATCCCTGAGTAGTTGATCTGCCAGTCACAGAGATCGGGTCTGTTGCTCTGTGGTGAGCAAGTTGGTGCACTTTCCTGCCCCGCCTTCAAGATGGTGGTGGGGTGCCTCTCTTGTCCTCTTCCATGGGAACTTTCCTCTGTACTCCTTCCGCAGCCTTGCCAGAACCCTGCCAGGTGTTGAAGTGGTGAAGAAAAGCCAGGAACCACCAGTCTCTCTCCTGCTTCAGTGGTGAAGGAGAGCCTGGGGCGATAGTTTCTCCCTGCCACTTTTTCAAAGGAAAACTTCTGTCCATTTAAAAAAAAACAATGATGCTGGGCTTCTGCAACCTGGGAAGAGCCAGGGATGAAGTAGAGAAGCTACAGCACTAGCTGTTGCATCAGGGGCCTGGCCACCCTCTCATGAGCCCCACTTAGACAGTCTCTCCCAGCATTTTCTTCCCAGGGAGGGTTTGTTGATTTAAAAAAAAAAAAAAAGGAAAGAAAGGAAAGAAGAATAAAATGGTGCTCGGATCTGCGTCCTGGGAATCGCTAGGGTCCAAGCCTGGCCACTGCGGCACCAGCTGCTGCACCAGGAGAGCCCTGGCTGCTAGCTCCCTAGCCCTCAGTCAGTCAGTCACTCACACGCCCACTCGCTCACCAGCACGTACACAAAATTTTCCGTATACTCAGTCACTCACACAGGGACTCACATAGTCCGACTGACTCGGCTGCCATCTTCCCGACTCCCGCTCTTGATTTTTAATGTTTATATTGTATCAGCAACCCTGCCAAACTCTCATTTACACAAACATTTATGTACTTCTATTTCCTTCAGTTCTTTTCTTTTTCATTTTTTCCCCTCAAGTTATTGCACTGACAGTGTCTCTGCTCCAGTATTGATATAATAATAGTATTTGACCTTGTTCTTTAAAAAGGGAACAACAGGTTCAGTGACTCACCATTAAGCATTACATAAATGCTCACACATACATATGCACACTTTGTAGGCTTTGGAAGATACTCTTATTTTCTCAACCTTGATGCTATTGACATTTTGGGCCAAATAATTTCTTGGTGTGGAAGGCTGTCCTGTGCATTGTAGGATGTTTAGAAGTATCCCCAGCCTACCCATAGTTATGACAACTAAGACCATCTCCCACCATTGCCAGATGTTCCCCAGGGGACTAACTCATCCATGATTGAGGATTACTGCCCTAAATCTGTTCAGGAAATTATTTTCTATTCCATTTTTAAGAGTTTTTATCATTTAAAGCATTGAATTTTAACAAATGCTTTTTCTGTATCTGAGGAAATTATCATTTTTCTTTTTTAATCTGTGAATATAGTAATTTCTATTATGACTTTCTATTGTTAATCTGTGGTACGATTTTATTAGCATACCATAGTCTGAATTGAGGAAATGTGTGATATTTTTCTTCAGTTTGCAGGGTGTGAACATTAAAATAAAACAATATAAGCTAGATCCCATGTTAGAAATTGAATTTTAATTGCTATGTTAGAACCTGTTTTACCTATCGTGCATACAACTTGCCTGTTTTATTAATGATCTGGTTTTAAATAATCTATTTTGGGGCTTACTCTCTCACTTTGAACTTTTTTTATTTTAAAGACGTGGGGTATAATTCAGGATTAGGTATACAAGTGATCATCATATAGGTAAGGTTTGGGCCTCCCTTTGGTCCCTGCTTTGCCTGGTTTCATATCAGGTACGCTTATTGATGCTGTGTCCCCCCTCCTTCCAAGCAGTACTCTACTACTGCCAATCCCTTTCTTACAGTATTATGGTAAATGTTCAGTGTCCACTTATGTCACTTTGAACTTTCTTCAGACAAAGACATATAAGTTTGTTGAATCACTTATAAGTTTATTGAATAGTTAATGTATTTAAATGTCAGATTACTAAAATATCCAAATGTAGTACATATACACAATGGAATATTACACAGCCATGAAGAAGGACAAACATATGAGCTTCAGAGCAACTTGGATAGATTTAGAGTCTATCATACTCAGTGATCCATCACAGAAATAAAGAACTGAGTACCACATGTTCTCACTCATAAGGGGTCCTTGAACAATTATCATAATACAATAAGAAAGGGATTGGCAGTAGTGGGAAACTGGCAGGGGAGGGGAGGCAGGATTGGCATTAGTGGGAAACTGCCAGGAGTGGGTGGGGCACACCTCATCAACAAGGGTACCTGCATAATGAGCATCTGTATACCTAACCCTGAATTGTACCTCACCCCTTAAAAATAAGAAATTTAGACTGGACTCAATGGCTGAAGCCTGTAATCCCAGCAGTTTAGGAAGTCAAGGCAAGAGGATTGCCCAAGTCCAGGGGTTGGAGACCAGCCTGGGCAACTTGGTAAGATCTCGTCTCTACAATAAATAAATAAATAAAAATTAGCCAGGCATGGTGGTGCATGCCTGTAGTTCCAGCTACTTGGAAGCCTGAGGCGGAAGGATCTCCTGAGCCCAGTACATCAAGGTTGTGTGGTCGTGAGTGTGCCACTGCACTCCAGCCTGGGCAACAGATTGAGACTTCAGCTCAAAAAAAAAATTTTTTTTTAAAGACTACTAAGATAACAGAATTTGACAAATGCTACAATAAAAATATATTTGCCTTAATTAAATGTATAACAAGAAAACTGAATATTGATTATTTGTAAGTAGTGGGAAAACCAGATATGATTATTCAATCAGTTCTAAATGTTATTGTAAACATTAACTGTCTACTTCTGGTCTCCACAACAGAAATAGGCAGTATCACCCTAAGCCCAACTGCCATTTTTCTCTAAATATTCTCTTATATTTTCATAATATTTGGAGGTAATACAGTTTCAAACTAAAACCAACTTTTCTGGTGGTTGTTTTAGCATTACTGTGGAAATGAAACCACACGGAAGTAGTACTGTGATAAATAAATAGACTCAGTAGAGTTGGCAATAACATCAATAAGAGGTAGAAAAATAACATTTCTAATCATAAACCATAAGTTGAATGGGCTTAGGTAATAGTTTGAGATCAATTTTATTATGAACTATTTTAAAGGATTTTGCCTAAAATTATTTTTCTATTTTTATTTCCTTTTATAGTCACGTTCTATGTCTAGCTCCCCTGTGATGGTAACTCAGCCCATTTATCAGCAACCTGCATATCACTACCAGGTAAACACAAATTACATTAAAATTCTCTATGATGTTTTCAGTTCTTTCCAGATGACTTTCATTTATTTCTTTCTTATGCAACTACTAATTAAAAAGAGATCATTAAAGAATCCATTGGAAAAAAGTAGGGTGATAATGATGAGTCCATGCAGGTTCGTCAGTTGTAACAAATGTACCACCGTAGTGGGGGGATGTTGAAAATAGGATGGTTGTGCATATGGGGGACAGGGGACAGATGGGAGCTCTTTGTACCTTCTGCTCATTTTTACTGTGAATCTAAAAGTGCTCTGAAACAATAAAGTCTATTTCTTTAAACAAAATAAAAATAAAAAGAGATCATTAATCCTTGATAGAAAATTTTTTCATTTTATTTTTATTAATGGACAGATAATCACTGCACACATTCATGAGATACATAGTGATATTTTGATACATAAAATGAATGGTGGTTAGGATAATTAGCATATCCCTCTTCTCAAAAATTTATCCTTTCCTTGTGTTGGGTATTCTCCGCCTTGCTATTTTAAACTATGTAATGCGCTGTTGTTAACTACAGTCATTCTGTAGTGGCATAGACACTAGAAATTATTCCTCCTAGCTGAATTTTGTATCCTTTAACAAATCTCTCCCTATCCCTACTTCTCTCTACCCTTCCCAGCCCCTAGTATTCTTTGTTCTACTTGTTACTTCTATAAGATCAACTTTTTTTGGTTTCCACATGTGAGTGAGAACTTGTAGTGTTTGACTTTCTGTTCCTGGCTCATTTCACCTAATGTCCTCCAGCTCTATCCATGTAGCTGCAAGTGATAATATTTCATTATTTTGTATGGCTGAATAGTATTCTGTGGTGTATATATTGCACATTTTATTTATCCTTTTATCTGTTGTTGGATGCCTAGCTCAATCCCATATTTTGGCTTCAGGAAATCATAGGAATGAGGATGTCTCTCTGATAAAATAATTTCCTTTCCTTTGATTAAGTTCCCAGTAGTGGGATTGCTGGATCATATGGTAGTTCCAGTTGTACTTTCTGAGGGACCTCCATACTGTTCTCCATGGTGATTGTACTAGTTTGCATTCCCACCAACAATGTATACGAGTTCCCTTTTCTCCACACCCTCACCAACATCTGTTACTTTTTGTCTTTTTTATAATAGCTATTCTAATAAGGGTGGAATGATACCTCATTGCAGTTTTGGTTAGCAATTAATTCCCTTTTGATTAGTGATGTTGAGCCTTTTTTCATGTATTTGTTTTCCATTTGAATGTATTATTTTGAGAAATTTCTGTTCAGATCATTTGCCCACTTTTTAGTTGGATTGTTTGTTTTTCCACTGTTGAAATGTTTCAGTTTCTTGTATATTCTGGATATTAATTCCCTGTCAGATGAGTAGTTTGCAAATATTTTCTCCTATTAAATAAGTTGTCTCTTTGCTCTGTTGATTGTTTCCTTTGCTGTGCAGAATCTTTTTAGTTTGATATAATCCCATTTGTTTATTTTTGCTTTTGTTGACTGTGCTTTTGAGGTCTTATTCAAAAAATCTTTTTCCAGACCATTGTCTTGAAGCGTTTTTTCCTATGTTTTCTTCTAGTAGTTTTATTATTTTGGATCTTACATTTAGATCTTTGATCCATTTTGAGCTGATTTTTGTATAACCTTAGAGGTGGAGGGGGGTTCTAGTTTCATTCTTCTGCATATTCTTGTCTAGTTTTCCAAGCATTATTTATTGAAGGGACTGTTCCCCAGTGAGTGATCTTGGCACTTTTGTCAAAAAATCAGTTGACTGTAGATATGTAAATTAATTTCTAGGTTCTCTATTCTGTTCCACTGGTCTGAGTGTCTGTTTTTATCCCAGTACCATGCTGTTTGGGTTATTACAAATTTGTAGTATAATTTGAGGTCTGTTTGAGGTAATGTGATGCCTCCAGCTTTATTCTTTTGCTCAGAATTGCTTTAGCTGTTTGGAGTCTTTGGGGGTTATATACAAGTTTTAGGGCTTTTTTTCTCTTGCTATGAAGAATGTCATTAGTATATTAATAGAGATTAAATCTGTACTTTTCTTTGAGTAATATTGTCATTTTAACAGTAGTAAATCTTCTGATTCATGAGCATGGTATGTTTTTCTATTTGTAGTCTCTTCAGTTTCTTTCATTGGTGTTTTGTAGTTTTCCTTGTCGAGGTCTTTCAGCTCCTTGGTTAAATATATTCTTGATTTTTGTTGTTGTTGTTGTTGTTAGCTATTATAAGATTATCTTTTTTATTTCTTTTTCAGCTAGTTTGTTATTCATGTATAGAAATGCTCCTGATTTTTGTATCCTGGTTGTATACTGCAACTTTACTGAATTTGTTTATTATTTCTAAGTTTTTTGGCAGAGTCTAGGTTTTTCTATGTATAAGACCACATCATCTACAAACAGGGACGATCTTAATTCCTCCTTTCCAATTTTGATGCCCTTTATTTCTTTTTCTTGCCACATTGCTCAGGCTAGGACTTCCAGAACTATTTTGAATAAGAGTAGAGTGATAAGTAGCATTGTCTTATTCTAATTCTTAGATGAAAGCTTTCAGCTTTTCACTGTTCAGGAGCATATTGGCTGTGGGCTTATCATATCTGGCCTTTGTTATGTTGAGAAACTTTTATTTCTATCACTAATTTATTAAGTATTTATCATGAAGGGATATTGAATTTCATCAAAAGCTTTTTCTACATCTTTTGAGGTGTCCATATGGTTTTTTCCTTTATTCTTTTGATGGTGATGTATGACATTAGTTGATTTGTATATATTGATGAGCCATTCTTGCAGTCCTAGGATAAATCCCACTTGATCATGGTGTATTATCTTTTTGGTGTGTTGTTGCATTCAGTTTCCTAGAATTTTGTGGAGGATTTTTATATCTGTGATTATCAGGGGTATTGACCTGTAACTTTCTTTTTTGTTGTTGTGTCCTTGTCTGGTTTTGGCTTCGGGATTATGCTGGCCTCATAGAATAAGTTAGGAAGAATTCCCTCTGCTTTAAATGTTTGGAATAATTTGAGAAGAACTGGTATTCATTCTTATTCAAAGGTTTGATAGAATTAATTAGGCTATCTGATCCTGAGCTTCTTTGTTAGAAGAAATTATCTTACTGAGTCAATACTGTTACTTCTTATTAGTCTGTTCAGGTCTTCTATTTCTTTTTGGTTCAATCTTGATAGGTTGCATGCACCCAGGAATTTATCCATTTATTGGCATACAGTTGTTCATAGTAGTAAACAACTAATGATGCTCTGATCTTTATTATTTCTTTTCTTCTACTTATTTGGGATTTGGTTTGTTCTTTTCTAGTTCCTTGAGGTACATCATTAGGTTTTTTAATTTGAAATGTTTTTCGTTTTTTTATGTAGGCATCTATTGCTGTACACTTACATCTTAATATTGCTCTTGTCATGTCCCATAGGTTTTAGTATGTTTTGTTTCTATTTTTATTTGTTTCACGGAATTTTTAAATTTTATTCTTAGTTTCTTCATTCACCCACTGGTCATTCAGGAGCATGTTGTTTAATTTCTGTGTAGTTGTATTGTTACAAATGTTTCTCTTGCTATTGATGTCTAGTTTTATTCCTTTGTGATCAGATAAGATACTTGATATGATTTTAATTTTTTTAAAAAATTGAGACTTGTTTTGTGACCTAAAATACAGTAAATCTTGGATAATGTTCCATGTACCAATGAAAAGAATGTATATTCTGCAGCTGTTGGGTGAAATGTTTTATAAATGGCTATTAGGTTCATTTAGTGTATGGTGCATTTTATTTATTTATTTATTTATTTATTATAAAGATGCGGGGTACAATTCAGGGTTAGGTATACAAACATTGATCACGTGGGTACCCTTGTTGATGAGGTATGCCCCTCCCTCTCCTAGCAGTGGAGTACAAGTCAGGATTAGGAACACAAGTGGTCTACATTCAGTGAAGCTTGGACCTCCCATTGGTCCTCACTTTGCCTGGTTTAGGATCAGTTGCCCTTGGTGATATGTGTCTCCCTCCCTCCCTGGCAGTGTCCATTACTGCCAATCCCTTTCTCGCAGTGTTATGATAAATGTTCAAGGCCTACTTATGAGTGAGAATATGTGGTACTCAGTTCTTTATTTCTGTGATAGATCACTGAGTATGATAGACTCTAAATCCATCCAGGTTGTTGTGAAGTACATAATTTGGTCCTCCTTTATGACTGTTTAATATTCCATCATGTATATGTACTACATTTTTTTTATCAGTCCACTTTTGATGGGCAGCACAGTTGATTCCATGATTTTCTATTGTGAATAGTGCTGCAGTAAACATGCATGCACAAGTATCTTTTTTGTAGAATGATTTTAATTCCTCTAGGTATATTCCCAGAAGGGAGATTGCTAGGTCATATGGAAGGTCAATTTTTAGATCTTTTAGAAATCACCACACTGTTTTCCACAAAGGTTGAACTACTTTATACTCCTAACAACAGTGTTCCCTTTTCTCCATATCCTCTCCAGCATCTTTTTTTTTTGTGTGGGGGCATCCTGACTGGAGTTAGGTGGTATCTCAGTGTGGTTTTGATTTGCATTTCTTTGATGATTATTGAGGCTGAGCATTTTTTCATGTATCTGTTGACTCTACATATGTCTTCTTTTGAGAAGCTTCTATTCATGTCTTTTGCCCACCTTTTTATAGGGCTGTTTGGTTTTTTTCCCCCCCTTTGACACATTTGAGTTCCTTATAGATCCTAGATGTGTTAGGGCTTTGTCAGATAAACAGTTGGCAAATATTTTTTCCCATTCTGTGGGCTGTCTCTCCACTTTCCTTATGGTGCATATTAAATCCAATGTTTCTTTAATAGTTTTCTGTCTAGATGATCTACCAAATGCAGAAAGCGATGTGTTGAAGTCTCCAACTCTTATTTTATTGTGGTCTATCCCTTTAGATCTAATAATATTTGCTTTATATACATGGGTGCTTCAGTATTGGATGCATATATATTTGCATACATATTTACAGTTGTTATATTCTCTT